ATCCCTCAAAATTTCAACTTTGATTGTAAACTAAAGCCGAAATGTCGAAAATTTGGATGAATATGTATGAAAGTTCAAGAGTTTACAACGAGACCTTAGTCGATCTGGCGATAACTTTATGTTTAAAAGTTTATGCTTAAATAAAATCCCTAAAAATGTTTTCGGGAACACAAATAAAGTAGAACGCATCGCACACATGGAAATATAAAAATCCATGCAGTGTATATCGTCGAGGGTGACTAAAATTTTAAAATTATAGGACACAATTTGTTTCAACACTACTACTTTTAACAGGTTCTTCATCACTTTCTACACTAAATTGACTCCTTCTGTCACAAAAGTTGAATTTAGTAATCCCTTGCAAGGACAATGGTTACTGCAGGTTTCAGGCTCTTCAGCTTTATTGGGCAATAAACGTCCATTACACGATTTTGGAGGATTTTTAGCCCTTTACTATTTACTGAGCATTTTTCCTCCTTGAAGAGCCTTAATTGTCGCAAAAGCCTGGCCAGTGAAGGTGGTGCAGAACCGACTTTGTTCAAAAAATTGACTGTATGAAATGTTTTATCAGCCACTGGATGCTAAATCATTTTTTCCAAACGCATTGTGTCCATCAAAATATTCAGACAGAGGAGAAGTGAAAGAATGTGCACTTAGTACTAAAGCCATGATATAGCATATTCGGTTACCTTTACCTTCAGACATAAGTTCTTCCTTCCAAACATCTACAATCTTTTTTCATTTTTTACTTTAAACAATGTTTTCTATATGCTTGGTTACTTGAAAACAGGGCAATATTTTTTGGGATCAAAATACGTTAGGAATATAATGTATTACGTAGACAGTAAGTAAAAGGGGATGACTTTTATGTAACAGTGAATTCAAATGATGTGTCTACAGAAGAAAGTCAAATGGGCTATAGGTCTTAAGCACAGTCTCTGCATACACAAATAACGAAACAAATCATGCGTAAAAATGTTATTACGGCTTGTACAATATATTTTTGTTTTTCGTAATGAGATATCTCCTCTTTTTATTGGTGCTTATGTTTGCTGCATAAACCTTACTAGGTGACTAAAAATGCATTACCTAGACATCATTGAGGAACTAAAGCCCATTCAGGAGGATGGTTGACAATGATAATGATTTGTTATGCAATCCATTAGTTGTTAATCTATAAAAAATGGATGGTAATGCACAATGCTAAAATGCGTCTTTAACCTTACTTGGAGGAAAGCTTTTTACGCTTAAAATGGTAAAAACAGAAATTTTCTGTAATAATTGTCTACAGATTTGAAGGGATTTAGGGCATAGATGATTTAGAAAGTTACCAAATAGAGCACTTTTTTACTTTTTGGGGAAAACTTAAACCAGCAGGCGTCTATTAAGCTAATAGATGCAATAGCTATTTTCGATAATGACATTCATCGCGATTTCATTGTTTCAACTTAATATAATTAATTAGGGTGATTTTTAGCAAAAAGCGTGCCAAAGGTTCTTGACGACTAAAGTATTCGGAAATATCACGAGGTTCTAAATAGTTTATTTAAAGTCTAACGAAGTCAAGAACTTGACCCATGGAATCACTTACTCCTCTTGCTTTATGCTAATTCGGTCTGTATTCACAGGACATGTATTTTATTTAAAGATTATTAGAAATTGATATTTAAAATTGTAGTCTGAAAGGGTTAGAAATCGGTAGTGCCAGCAACGGTTTTTTATTAAAATGATCAGGCTAGGGAAGTAAAAATTGTATTAATAATATAGCAGATATAAATTTTACTCAAGCATGTTGAAAAAGTTTTGATTCATTTTTAGACTTCTGCAAAAGAAAAATCTGTAAAAATTATTTTGAACTTTGTGTGTTTGATTTTGAGTCAGGTGATAAGACCTTCCAACTGAGTGAAACTACAAAAAAACGGATATGACAGCAAAATCAACAGATAAATGCTTCCGAAACTTTTGGAAGGAATTACTATGAGTTTATTCGTTCTAATTACAATCTTGTGCCATTTTGTGACTCTTTGCATACTAATAATGTTTAGACTCTGAGACGATGAAAATGTTTGATACTACGTTGATGATCTAATGAGAGCTCTGTTACTATTCGTGCCCTTAGAAAGACCGCATAGGCAGTGCTTTGAAGACCCAGAGTTTCACAGCTTTTCTCCAGTGCATTGTATATAATGCATTTATGGATAAACTATCTTAAGCCACAAGTTAGACGTAGCAATCATCAGGAGCTCTTAATAGAAATTCAGTGCATTGGGAATTAAAATAAGTGATATTGTGCTTTGTCATTAACAAGGCCACATATTTGCGCCTCTTTATGCTGCCAAAAAAACAAAAAAAAGCACTATACTAATAGAATTTGATTAATTTTTGACCTATCAGATCAAAAACAAATTTTTCTTCTTCTCACAAAGATTTACCAGCAAATCTACTTGTGTTTTTATTGAAAGAAAGGTAGCGTTTATATTCATTTCAGAGCTAACACTTGCTTTCAGAATCAAAGCGCTATGTGCCTAAGGAAAGTATCAAACGATTTATTAAAGACAACATTTGCGTAATTTTGCAAATTTTTTTAATTCAAAGTCCGTAGCTACGTATTTATTTATTTATTGATATCCGTGGCTGGTGCGGTTAGTTCGTTGTGGTTGTTTTTGATAGGGAACAGACTACGTTGTGACGGCTGACGCGGGGAGCACTGGGGTGAAGCTCAAAATAATGAAGAGACCACATATTTATTTGCATATTTGTCAAACTCTTCGTTTTCGGTGTTGGGGCTACTTAAGGCTCGAAAACTGTAGTTCCGCTGAGCGACGTGGCCTTTGGGCTATGCCAATAGTCCTCAGGACCTCTGTGAGGACCCGGGATGTCGTATATCAATATTATCGGAATTCTTCGAGTGCGATGGCCTCAAATAATATTATGCAATGCCCAGGTTTCGCCATTAACTTTGGTTTCCATGATTTTTTAACGTTCGGTAGAATTTGCGATTTAAGTATTAGGGTAGCTGTAAAATCTTGTCATCAGAGAAGAACTGCTTTAGAGATGCGAACACCCTCTGTCACCGTGATATAATGATAACTAGCCCACTTGAATGGAATTTCGAGTTTGGATAAGAGAATGATTATGGGTTAAGTGGCAGGAATTGCCGTCTTTACATATACCTAATCATTTTGACAAGGTTAGAACCCATTTACCGGACACCAACATGCCGTTAGTCGTTGTTTTATCAAATGCTTATAATACAAATGGAGATGTGGTCAAAATCTTTGCTTGTTCTTGTCTTACCAGCTCAAACTAGCATTAATAATTAAAAATCATACGACAGCAGACTTACTTGCAGAAGACTAGCCTTAAAATCGGCGGATATGATTCCAGAGAGAAACATTAGTCTTGGCTAATTAAAGCGCATGAACTGGAGTAATTCTTTGAAAAAGCAGGTAATAAAGCATTTCGATTGCGGTTATAATCGACATAAATACTAACCAAATTGCTCCTTCAAAATAGATGTCAATGTCATTCGCAGAACCGGTCATTTATTATACTATCTGTCCTAGTTTGGTAATGTTTTAATTATTAAGTGTTTTGTTGTTAAACAGTTTCATTTAGCACTTTATTTTTGCCGACTAAATGAATGCAAATTGCAGGGTCATAAAAAAACCATACCAAATGATTGCGCTCTTAAGCAACCTCGGTTTTTGTTTTATTTAAGCCCTTTTTTCTTTACAATTTTTAAAGCAAAATGAAAAAATTGCATGAGATAGTTAAAGAGAACCCACCATGGGCATCACAATAGTGGGATTTTGTAAGACTTAGGAAGTGTTCCTGTCCCACGGTGTCCCACAACTAAAACTACAAACTTTCTCTCATAGCTAACTACCCTTGTTCAAAAGGAAAAAGATTGATATTTAGACATTTAACAGCAACCGTCGGGTCATTTATGTTTGATTAGTCTACATGCGTCGAAACAAGTGTCTAAGAAGGCTTGAAAGACTGCTGTTAGGTGTACGGCATGTAATCGCATGCATTGCCGACGGGTTAATACTGTTATTTTTAAGTGCATTTTAGGGCTATTGTTATTGGTCATGGTTACAAATCTTTGGTCCGCTTAGTTTATCTGATTCCGACTTTAAATCGCTTATTTTTGAGTTGTGAATTACGACCATTTTAAAGCTGCCATTAATACTTTTCCAGTAAACACATTATTCAAAATATCAACTTCTACGTTTAATATAATTTTGAACTTTGTAGAATAGAATGACGGCAATTTAAAAAATTTTGGTTCCTTTGAAGAAAAGTGCCAAAAGTTCCACATTTGCACACCTGTTTTGCCATATTGCTCCTTTTATCATGTGAACAAAATTGATTTTAACTTCTTGAAATGCATTATCTGCTTCCTTTATGATCCTTTAATAGGGATCGTCCTCTTTACTCCGGGGAAAATTCCTCGAAATATTCAATGCCACAGTGTTAGCAAAAACGCCATTTAAACCTTATTAAAGCGAAACT